CCCCCCCAGGTGCCTGTCGGGGCCTGGGTTTCAGCTGTCCACACCACAGCAGTGGGCAACGAGCTTGAAGCCCCTGATGGCTCTGGGCGCTGACTCTCACCAGTGGCTATGGATGAAGTCACAGGCAATTTTCAGCCAGCGCCAGAAGATTTAATGAACTCTTAACTAATAATGACTTTTTCTCCAGCAGGTGTCACTATTAAGATTCTTAAAGCTAAACATCAAGTCTTGCTCTCCCTCTGTCTTCCTGTAACTGAACTACAGAATAATGAAATATAAGAAGATGTGTGTTGGATAAGACATACTGTCTAAAAAAGGGAACAAAAGACACTCTATATTTTTATAATAATACAGTGCAAGCAATTCTACCATTTCTGAAAGCTTACTAGTTAAAAATGGAAAATAAGAAAAATTAAAATAATAGTAAAACAACACAAAGCCATTTCCTTGCTATGATAGCTGAATTGTTTGATTTTTTAAATTATGTAGCTTAACATTTCCACTGGACACATTTATAGAACATAACACACTTGTGTATATATCTAAGTATATAAAATAGTACCTCAGTCAGTGTGCTAAATTTTGAATGTATCCTGGTCAACAAAATTGATATGCTCCCTGTTCTCAGAGCCAATAATCTAATATGAATGAGAGGAGTTATACCCAACCAACTCTAATTAATAGTGGAAGTCTATCAAAATAAGAAAACAAAACAAATTTGAACCAGAAATTGTGCTTCTGGAAATAGAAACCTTTCACACATTTGTACTAGACATACATACATACAAGAATATTAATTGTAGTGTTACTTTTAACAGTTAATGACAAACTAAAAATAAGAAATAAAAATTAGATATGATACGGAACAAAGAAATGGAAGAAAAACAAAAATATATGGAAACAATTTGTCCTAAGGACTAAGGACCACACAAATCTCAGCTTCCACATCCTTGAGACCAGAAGAACTAGATGATGTACAGCTACCACCACTAACCACAGTAAAAAGAGATCCCAGGAGAGAATCCTGGATAGACCTGGGGGAAATATGGAAAAAAGCATAAAAAAGGCCATGCTCAGGGCTGATGTGGACTGGTAAAAACCTAAGACTGTGGCCCTCATTTATGCTTCCAACTTGGAACAAAACCTCCATGGCTAGACTTCCAACCAAACATTGACTCATTGCTGACTCTCCAGGGGGTTTTCAGAAGCAGTAAATCTCATGGAAAGAGAATGTCCATCCTTTCCCTTGGGAGCAGCTGATGGATTAAAATCACCTGGCTTTGGGATTGCAGGACAGCTTCTTACCACTAGGCCACCAGAGCTCCTTACACAGGCCTAGAATTGTGACCAATGTCACTAGAGAGGCACTCACCCCTTAGAATAACCTACTATATAAGGTCAAAAGAGGAGCATTTGCCCAAACAGAAAACCCTGAAGGAAGGAAGGTATAGAACAGAAATATTAATGGGGGTGAGAATTACAGGGAGAAAATGGGAAAAGTGTGATTACACTGTGGACATTTTAATTAATACTATTACAGAAAATGTACATACATCATGAAATTTCAGAAAAACCAATGTGTTGTATAAACTTTAAAAAAATATTAATAAAAATAAAATAAAGAAGAATGCCACCACCAGTAAAGGGGGGGAGAAGGGTGTTTCTAGCTGGAGGTTGTTTTGAATAAAATTGCTTTGATGTACACTCTTTCATTATGGATATACATTTTAATTGTTCTCAGTAAATGTCTACTAGTAAAACTGTGGCACCATGAAATTTTACTATATTCAAAAGTTCTTTGTACAGACCGTTTATAACATGTTGTTGTTGTTGTTATGTGCCGTCAAGTCGCCTGCGACTCATAGCGACCCTATGTACAACAGCCCTAAACTCTGCTCTGTCCTGTGCCAATTGCACTGTCTCTGACACTCCCATCCCAATTAT